ATATATATATATATATATATATATATATATAATACATTACATATAACATATACACACTGTCACTCCGTGTCAAATAAACCAAATTTCAGAAAGTTACCTGGCTATTTTTTCTGAAGAAAGACATAAATAATGATGAAAGTCAACATATTAAATGTCATATGTATGTACATCTATTGAGTAATCCACTATTTTGTAGAGGTTTACGAAATAGTAAACCTCTATTATAATTAAGCTCTATTATAATTAAATTAAGATACCAAAAGAAAAGTTTGCTAAGAACTCAAATATAAAATTAAACACACGATTATGACAATATATGGTTTATCCGAGTTATTATTATTATAGTTTTCATTAAAATAAAGTATATTTATAATGCAATGCCTTTATCACTGCTTAAATACTATGAAATATGTTGCGTGCCTTATTCTGTGTAAGAAGCCACATCATCTCACAGAAGGATTTATTTCAAACACTCGGCTGACGTTATGAAGTGAGTTTGGAGTAAAAGCATGTTATTAAATGTGTTTTTCCCCGTGCTTTCAGATGGAGTAGCATTTACTACACAGAGCCGTAGTTCACTGACAAGCTACACAAACAGCTGTCATTACCGCAAACGATTTCTTCGATTTCATAATCGCGCAATAAAATCGTCTGCGATTCTTTTGCGTAACTTGTCAGTGACCTACGGCTCTGTGTAGTAAATGCTACTCCATCTGAAAGCACGTGATGATGATTTCCTGCTGATTACAGAAACGGCATTACTATCAAAACGCGCATAACAATCGCATTCGATTAATCGTGCAGACCTAGGCAGACATTATGCAAATGTATTACTTCGTGACGTAGAGCCGTAACAGAATAAGATTCGAATTCCTGACGACTCGTTTAGACGATTGCGAGCCGACTCTTTTTTTTGATAGACAATAACTTTATTTATCGTGCACTGTCGGCTTCACAACTTTGCAGATAGTTTATGTTCACATACAGCTACATGACACACTGCATGAAAGGTAATATCTGAAAAGGCATAATAGGGGCACTTTAAGATATTTTGCTTTTTTTCAATAAAATTAAGCATATTATTATTATTAAGGATCATATGTAGAAATGTATGACAACTTATTTCCACAGAATAAAAAACTCAAAAAGGTAATTGCAACTTTTTATCTCACAATTCTGAGTCTGACTTTCTGAGCATTGCGAGATATAAACAGAAAAGTCTGAATTGTGAGACATAATTGTGAGAAAAAGTGACTTCTCACAATTGCGAGTTTATATCTCACAATTTAACATCTCACAAGTCTGAATTTTTTATCCATATATAATTGCTGTGTAGTTTTGTCACACAAGCTTGATGCTTTTTTTTTTTAGATAAAAAATTTGTTTTTTTATTTAGATATCATTAATAATAATCATTATTATTAATTGCTACATAAAAATATTAAACAAATATTAAACACTGAAACATAAGCTGCTTGAGTAAAAAAGAACACGATGCCATATTCTGAAAAACGCAACATATATTTATCTAAATAAATATCGCAGACTTTGCGATTTGATAACTGCACTAAGCTTTATTGTGATTTCGGGTTTTATTTTGATTGATCACATAGCCCTAGATTTGCACGCTATCTTTCTCAGCAACAAACAAAATGTACATTTGTAAAGTCAGATTTAAAAAAAAATCCCACGGCTAATTACGACATTGCAGTGGTGTTCATATGCATGAAAACCCGTTTTCCACTCACTCGTCTCCGACTCTCTAAACGTGTACTGGCTGCTCGACGAGCTTCCGAGATCCTCGAGCTCCTCACTTCCTGCTTCCTCTGCCTCCTTAGCAACAGGCTCCTCCCACGAGTCAGTCTCCGCCTCCCGAGAGTCCGCCAGCGTGATGATGTCAGAGTTCTCACTGGAGGAGCAAGGGATCACATGTTCTTCTCCACCCGCCTGCAAGAACACATCAATGCCACTTCTTTAAGCCGGATTACTGGAGAATTCCTCTCTGCGGAACAATAACACATGCCAGGAGGTCATTTTCAGGTTTAATCGCACCTCTCGGGTCGGTTCCGCCTCCGCCGCCACCTCATCTCTCAGTGTGAGATCTAGTGAGGACTCTCCCAAACTCTCCTCACCCCGCTTGGCTGAAAAAACAAGCTCAAATATTTTAAACTTGTTTGACCACTTCTGGATTTACACATTACAGTCATCCTTTTGCGTTTGTGTGCTGACACACGTGATTAACCACACACTAATACTGCATTCTACCTGAGTGGTAATCATTAAATTCATGCCACAAAACCTGACCTCTAAAACAACATAAATAGCTTTGTCTTTATTCATTTTGAATGACATCCTCACCATCAGGTACGTCTGGAGCACGGCTAACCGCTCCATCCTCACACTCTCCGGCGTTATCCGGCCCCAGTGTCTCAATATCCGAACCCTGTAACACACACACACACACACAAACACAGACACACACACAGACACAGACACACACACACACACACACA